AAAGTTCTCATTCATTTTTTAACTTGAATATGAATTTATAGGATCATTCTCCTTCAATGTGAAATCCTCTACAGTAATATTAAGCTGTGCATTGAGAGACCGTCTCCCTGTAGCTGCTGCTGTAAAGTCTAATTTGCTGCATAAAATATGAGACCTATAGTGAAATACGAGCCTGGAGAGCAACTCTTTTGATCTTGAGTAGTCAAAAGGTTGGCATGCATAATGCTATGAAAATAAATGATGTCAGAACTGTAGGGTATGATTTATGGTTTGAGGACTTCTTTACTGATATAAGTAGAAGCTTCTACCATTGGAAAGCAAATAGTTCAACATAAGAAAATTAATGGAAATTACAAACTTTCATAAAACAAATACGTTAAATCTTGCAATACATCACTTTAGACATATCCAGTTTACTAATAATTTACTGATAAGAAATTATGAAAAAGAGCATTTATAAAAGATATAATTGGGATTTAGCCTTCATTTTTATATTTCTTTAAATAAATACAAGGTGTTATCCGTCATCTAATTTGCCAAAGACTTGCTTATGTAAATTGTCTTTTCTTACGTCTGCAGTTCCAGTGACAAAAGCTCGGGTCTCGTAAACTCTTAACATTGCCTTTTTTCAGCTGTTCCAGCACAGTGTGAGGATGTACCCAAGTAGCTCACTTTGCTCTTAGGAGAGTTACTGCAAAAGGACATTGAAATATTTGTTGACTGAGATCTTTATTATTATCGTGCCATATGGATTCTTATGTGTGGTTCTGCTAGCTGAGAATCCATAACCTCTGCAGGTTTCAGACTGGGATTTTTTTTTTTAATGTGTATACAAAAAAATTTCAATGTGCTATTTCACTTATTTGACTTCATTTAAAGATGCACAGTCTTCCCTAATATACTTTCTATCCCTGGAAGCAGGGATAGATTTATTTTATTTTTAAAGCCTCTGTCTTTCGAGATCTGTTTTGAGAAATTGACCTAGGCTTCTCTTTGGCCTTTTGTTACTCCAATACTCGGTCCTTTTGCTCAGGGCTCTAAATCTGCTTACAGTACATAGTGTAATGTACATCTGGCTTTTCGTTTGGACTGGTATTTCATCGTGCTTTGGAAGGTGTGCTATTGTAGGGGAAGTGTTCTTTCTTATACAGATCTACTCAATTTCTGACAAAGCTGTTTAGGTTAATATAGACCAGGAACTCTGAAACTGAACTTTGTTCTCCACATCTAGATTGGAAGGAAAGGAGAAGGGATACATGTGAGTGACCTGTTTTCCCATCCATCACCCTCTGACACCCCTGTTCAAGACTGAAAAATTATCAGGGTTTGTTTGGATGGGACATCTACAAAGGCTTCTGAAGTTTATTAGATTTAATAATAAAAATAAAAAGACAATGTGTGTGTGTGTGTATTTATATGTACATACATACTGTGTATATTTATGTACACATATATATACACACTGTATATGCATATATACACACATACATACTTCCATGTATATATATATATGCACATTTTTAGAATTGATCTTCACCTGTTACAATGTGCCTCCAGAATATGTTTCAGCAATATTCATCAGTAATTCGGTGGCAACAGAAGTCATTATAAGATAGCCTTGCTGAAGAATTGACATGAAAATGTACTTTGTTTATTGTCTCTGTTTCTTAGGTTACTTCAGTGTCTCCTTGCTGAATGCTGTAAGTTTTTACTGCGCGTACAAGAATCCTAACATGTTTTGATAAAGATTTTAAAGATGCCCTACTAATCACACTTTCCTCAGTCCTTTTGTTGGAATTTCAAGAGTATCATGCTGTCAGAACTATAGATATGTCATATTGATCTTGATGATTAAATCAACCAAAGGAAACTTGATTTCTAAGGGAAAACTTAATATTCTCAAAGCTCAAATGTCTCCTAAATATTTATAAGCCACAAAAGTTGATCAAATGCCTTTGTTCTGAAATTATTAAACCAAAGGGTGACAGTTCATATTCTTGTCATATTAATGTGAAGCAGTAATATCTAAATTCATGTGTATGTGTTTTCAATCATATGAATACGCAGAGGTAACTTTTTTTTTTTTTCTAACTTGGCAAGGCAAGATGATAAATAGGTGAAAAAGTGTATGTGTTTGAGCGATAAAGTTGGTTTAATGATTCTTGGGGAAATGTTTCCTGCAGTACATATGCTAGTGACTTGATTGAACAGGACAGACTCATGCAGTTCAATTAATGTGCAAATATGTGTTCACTGAGCTTTCATTCCATTTATCACATGGACATGGAAATAGGGTCATTTTTTATCTCCATATTATGTATATGAAATCTTAGTTTGCTTCTTGCATGTTGCTATGGGAAAAATAGTAATGTGGCACACCACAGGCAATAGGAATTGGAGATAAATTCCTCAGCTGTCAGAAACATCTCAAAGCAGATCTTTGTTTGAAGATAAACCTCTTCCTTCTGCAAGGATTAATGTTAAGAAGGCATGCTCTACCTATTAAAATTGTGGCCATATGCTGTGAAAAATGGCTGGCAACAATCATCATGTTTATAAAATACATAACAAAGTGTAATCCACAGAAAAAGTCAAAAGGAAGTTTTAAATGAAAATGCATTAGTATTTACCAGTGGTTATTTAAAATAAGAAGATACCCATTGCGAAGTAAAGTTTTTTTCTGATGCTTATCAATGTTTTCTTTCATCTTCAGATCTAGTGAAATTTGGGGGGAACTGCTCTCTGAGCAAATTTGTATTGCCCTGGATATCACTGAGAAGACTCAAATTCAGGGCTGGTGCTTACTTTTGCTGCAATCCACTCAGGCAAGTAAAGTAGGAGACAGCTATGTTGACTTCTCCAACTGAAATCTCTTTCAGTCTGTAATAAAGGATCAATTACTGATCCAGCAGTTCTGCCAAAAATTTCATAGAAGTAGCAGAGGAGTCTGTAAAGTCTGGCCCTTTCTTTTGACTAACTATTCTAAATCGGTTATCAAGGTTACAGTTAGTTAATCAGTTTATACACTGACAGTGTACCCTGGTAATTCTGTTACTGGAAGTAGACAAGATAAAGACTTTTCTTTTCATTGTATTCTATAATTAAAAAAAAAAAAAAGTTTTCATCTTTTTTCTCAATATTGACCAAAAATCATTCATAACAGTGGGGGAAAAAGATGGAATTTCATAGGTACAATGTAAAACATGATATAAAAATGCCTTTTCTAGCATGGCTCTATTTAATTGATAGTCTAAAGAAACGACCTTTTGGCTGACACAGGCAGCCGTATAAATCAAAGACTAGCTGAATTCTCCCTGGAATTGCAGTCTTCAGAGGCAAAGCTTATAACCTTTAAACAAACCACAGGGCAAGTTCTCTACTATGTAAATTGTCAGAGCTTCATAAAATTTAATGGAGCCAGTTTTTAAGAGCAGTGAGTTTGATCTTAGGTAGAAGGTGGCAGAAGCTTAAAGAGTCTAAATTGCTAAATCCATCCCAGCACAACTCATTGTTAAGGAGGCAAAAGTCCCGTTGGCTTGGGGACTGCAGAGTCTGGTCAAAAATATTTTTTTGGCAGTTATATAGTTGTATAACTTATTGCTTTAGTTAATGTAATAGACAGAAGCACTGCAATGTATCCCCTTCTGGTCTCGGTCAGTTTCTCAGTCATCTAAGATCTGTTAAACATAAAATGTGATAGGTTTTCTCATTTGTTGGCTGTGAGCTGAGGTTCAAGTAATAGTGATGGTTTCTAGGTGCATGCATGTACATAAACATGAGTACTTTCGGTATATACTTTTCTTTTGTATAGGTAAAAGATGCAGGTCCACTGATACTGGAAGTAAGGCAGGACTTGATAAACACAGAAATACACCTGTCAAATCACTGAAAGAGCGATCCGTGTTTTAAAGGGTCACTAGACTACCTGAGATTTTGTTAAAACCTATGTTATGTGATAAACATGATTTTAGAGAGGATATTTGCTCTTAATTAAGCCGTGTACTGTTACTTAACATGGTGAATGAAATGGGCAAAATAAGTATTCTCACAAAAGTTTCTGAACAAAGTGTGAATAGTTTGGAGAACCCAAAGGTCCCTGAAGTGCCGAAGCAATGCGGTTTTCCATCAGCACATTGAGCAAACCTTCGGTTGCAGAAGTTACAGACTACTGCATTCTCCTGTTTGGGGGAAACAAGGAGGTTGTACCTTTTCCATAAGCAAAGTCACAAAGAAGGAGATAAAGAGCCAAGCGGTATTTTGTTTTGGGGATTTATTTCCCTCACCAGGAGGATTTGGAAAGGTGTTGTTCATTTTAAAAACCCAACTTCCCTTGTAAGCAATGCTTGATGCAACAGTGAATAGACAGACTGGTAAGGCGTTTTTTTTTTTTTTTTTTTTTTTTTTTTTTTTTTTTTTTTTTTTTCTTTCTCTTTCTTTGGACTGCTATATTGAAATGTTTGCTTTCCCTTTCATGTTTGCTTTAATGTCTTGCATTGACTTGCAAGAAGCCAAATGAATGCTGTTTGCAAGTTAGTTTTGAAGTCTACTTTTCAGAAGAGAATCATGCAGATAAAGGCCTAGCCAAATATTAGCCGGAAGCCAAACCAAAAAGGCAAACTAATTTATTCATGTCTATGTTAAAGTCTTTGACTTGTATTTCCTCCCTTGTTATACAGGTGAATTTATTATGTACTGCTTGGGACAGTATTTTAGGAGAGAAGCTACAAAAACTGAAGGAAAGGTAGAAGACCGTTATGTTTATGGTTCTTTAGTGAATGTTTCAAATACCAAATTAAAGAAGATATACGGAATAGTCAAATGTGTCACTTCTAATTATTAGAAGTGCTTTATGGTGAAGAGAATGTGAAAGATTAGGAACCAGATGAGATAGTAATTGAGCTGCTTTTCCTACAGATGATTTGGCATTTAATTCCTTATCACCAAGAGCCATGATAAGTCTGTGAGCAGAAGGGATTGCACAGGTGTAGCCTTTCATACAACTGAGCTTCAGGTGCCAATTCTCAGCCCAGAGTTCAAGCTGAATTTTGAAATGTGTTTTTACCTGATTTGTTTGCACAAATAATTGTGAGGGGTAAAACATAACTGCAGCAATCCCATGTTAGCAGGACAATGGGCTTGTCTGCTGGAGTTCTAATAGTGTTGTGTGACCTGATGTAAGGTAGGTGAAGTCTCCAAATTTGTTCTCGAAGTTATGGATATAGATTTTTTTTTAATGCATTTTTTTTTATGCAGTTTAGTGCTGTTTTAAAATTCATAATTCTAGCCTAATGGCAACTGGGCTCTTAGGGAAGGCACAATTACATATATTTCTACAAATATTCTTTTATATTTAAAAAAAATCAAACAGTATTAAAATAGTTCCAAGTGTTCAGAAACAATCATAACAGTTTCTGGTCCTGTCTGCATTTTTTTTTTTTTTTAAGAATTTTTAGAAGAATTTGGATTCAGCTGTATTATAATGTCCATATCCAGTTGATGGCAAAATTTTGAGGTGCTTCTCAATTCTTCACTCATATCTGCTTTGTGTTCTAGTTCTGCCCTCCTGACTGACAGGCAGCAACCACAGGTTCCTGGGCAGGACTGATGATGTGGAAAATTGAAGTATTTGAATTATGTCACCAAACTCTTAAAAAAATAAATAAATTTATATATATATATATATATATATGTGTGTGTATATATATATAAATCCCTTTTTCCTTTTATGAAATGTTGTTAAGTGAAGATATATGATTGCATTCTGATTAAAAGTAATTACAAGTGACCTTAATTAGCTCTTCATCCCTTGAGTCTAATGGAATGCTCTATTTAAAATGAACTAAGATTTAAAATGAATATTTCTATAACGAATAAGATTTTTTTCCTTCATGCTTTTCTAGTGTTTAAAAGTAGAGATCTTTGAAACATTTAACCCAGAACAAGAACGTGGACAGAAAGCCACTAGAAACCTTATTGTTATCGTGCCCATAGCTGACTTTAAACATTGGATTTTCATGGACAGGTACCTATTTACTTTCAACGTGAGTTGCTGTGATAAGAATTTATTACAGGACCTTGGGGAAATGTTGTTACATCTATTAAAAAAAAAGTTGCCATTAATTTTGTGGAATTAGAACATCGATTTAATTTGGCCTTCTTTAATTGATGTTAGGTAAGTTGGGAACTGATGTCCTCACTTTGTAAATGCATTTAATCACTTCATGCTACAAAACCTTGAACATAATTTTTCCTATCACTGCTGACAGTTCTGGGGTTAAAGCTCAAAGCTAATAAATTCACATGGACTGGGTACGGTTCTATGGTGGCATTCTTTAAAAATGTTTTTTTTTTTTTTTTATGAAGTAAGTCTGAATAATTTTAATTAGATAACCTCACTGCTTTTTATTTTTCTAAATATTTTTTTTTTGTTTTGCTTTTGTTAGCACAGTAATTTAATTTGATGGTGTTCTTCATGGGTAAATATTCCTATGCTTGTAAGGTTGTCAGCTAGCGTATAGTAGAACATAGTTAAATATGTGGTCAGAGTGCTTGGTGTTAAGTGGCCCTTTGGTTGTCATTTCTGAAGGCAAAGAGGTTTTAGCAGCATCTGGATGGCCACTGTCAGGTTAAAAGTCACGCAGTTCGCAAAAGCAAGTGTCAACATGCTCAGGTTAATGATGGCACTCGAAATGAATGAAATGGAAATAATTACTTAAAAGAAATAGTCTGCTATTCTAATTTGTGGTATTTCTTCAACATTTGATAATTCATTTGGAGAATAAAAATAGATCAGGAAGTGAGGTGTTTTAATGCTTTATTCCTGTTGAATGATCCTTGCTGCATTGCTCTCCCTGGAGACTGTGGTCCCAAAAAAGAAAGAGAATGTGGTTGGGGGAGTAAATAAGAAATCCAGGAGTGCTTTTCCTGTAGAATATTGCTTTTCATTGGAGTTATTTTTCCTTCAGATTATTGGTCTGGTTTACAATCTCTCAGGCACCTAGTAGGATAAAAGAGTGAAACTCTGCAAGCAGTCAGAAAATCAAGAAGTCCCCCAAGTGGCTGCAAAGCTTTTCAGGTCATGAGTAGGTTTAGCAGGTTACTCCTCTTGTCTTCTATTCCACCGCTGAGGAAGGTTCTGGTCACCCCTAATGTTGTATGTATAGGCACATGTGTACGCCACTGATGGCAAGAGGTCTACTCTCCAAGCAGTGAATGGGTTTGCAACTATCTTTTGTTCTTTTGGAGAATTCTTAATCATGCTGTCACCTAATGCTGTGGCCTGGATTGCAGGAGCAAAGATGAAGTAGAAAAAGCAAAAGCCAGTGGAGTTTTCCTCCATAGCTGTGAGTCATGTTCTGGCATCAGCTGAGTGGCAAAGTTGTTAAAGTTGCAAAGTTGTTAAGAGCTCCCACTGCACATTGTGCCCAGCACGCAGGCACCTCCTGGTTTAGGAGACTACAAGTTTCCTCAGCTGGTTCGTGAGCCTGCCTTACAGGAATGGAGGTGAAGTCCAGTGAGGCTCTGGTCGTAGGTGGGGAATAGTGGTGGTAGTTGTTAGTTGCTTGCCTGTCTGTGACTACATGACTGTGCTATTAGTCTCATCACACCAAAATTCAGGATTTGAGCCAGGTCTTACTCCGCCCCCCCCCCCCCCCCCATAACAAATCTAGAGAATGAGAATTCCTTTTCTAGGTCTTAGCCTCTATAGGCTGGCCCTGTAGAGTCCCTGAAGAGTGACTTTCCTAGAGTTCTCTTCCCTTAGCTCTCCGGAGGAGGGGAAGACAGCGTTGGAGGGAATCAGCTCATAAATCAGAAAACTTAAACAAGCCAGCCGGTTGTCATTTTTACCCTCATCTTTAAAATTTCCCTGGTATCAGCTGGGTAAATCACTGATTCAGAACAAGGTTCCATTTATGTGGTTGAAAACTGATGACTTGGAGATATTTCACAGGTATCTATGGCAAGTTTTCTCTATGGTGACTTACAAAGATTTGAATTATTATTCAGAAAACATTTGTAAAGTTATTGTCTTCCTTTTCATCAAGAAATATTCACCCAAGAGTCCACATTAGGACTGTGTTATCCATTGTGAATGTGTTTTTCTCCAGGGTTAAAAGCCTCAGTCACTGTTTCAGGCCACTCAAGCGCTTGTTGGTATGGGTGACACAGCCTGTAAATGTACATCAATATTCAGACCGAAAATATCAGTTTTAAGCAGCTATTGGGAGAAATAGCAGTAGCTATTGCATTCACAGAAATAAAAATTGTGCAAGTTTCTTAAAATATATATTTATTTCCCCATGTAATGCAATTTCAGGGCGACTGAGGGGGTGAAATTAAAATAAGAAAGAAAAGAACAAAACATTGTCTCTGATGTTTATTTCAGCAAGCAAGTAATAATAATAAAATTATTTGCAGTGTTATAGTGTATTATATGGTTTTTTTTTTTTTAATTTATTTAAACCAATCTGCAGTTTAGGGCTGCAGAGTATGGATGCATCAGACATTCATGCTTAAGCCACTAAGTGTTTGCTCAAGCCTGGAAAAGGATCAGTATTTTCATTCTGGTAATTCATGTTATTGTGCGGTGACTGTTTCAAAAATAATTGCTTATAGAAACTGAAAAGACTCTACAGATGGAACAAGTTACCAGTTAATGCAATTGCTTTCCCAGTGGAAACAACTCAGGACCAGAGGAGATATGATTACAGCATGTATTCAGTTGTCTGCATTTTCCAGAATATTATGGCCTAGACAGTCTGTGTGGCTAACCTGAAAGATCTGGGATATTTGACGATATACCCACAGAGGGTCATACACATTTCTTTCTGTGGACATAAAATACTTGACGGACTTCTTAAAAAAAAAAAAAAAAAAAAAAAAGGGGGGGGGGGGAAGAGGAGAGGCAAAACAATCTCTATGATTATGATAAACAATATCTATTTGCTACACTCAGACCAGAAGAGATGATCGAGCAATCTATAAACATTGTGAATTAAATTAAAAATTCACAGTACAACCTTTGCTTCAGTATTGTCTATTTTAAAGTTAGTTTTAACTAACATGAAATGTCCAGTGAAACCTTTTGTAAATAATTCAAATAGAGCCCAAGATATCACATCAAAAATATTTCACAAATCTGTATTAATATTAATTCTCTATTATACTTATGAAAATTACACTGTCCTTTTTAGGAATATCTCCAGTCTCTTTTGTGAGGTAAAAATAAATTAATATTTATTTGTTACTTTTGCTACATGGATTTGTCCATACATGCTTTAATTGTCCCTTCTCTATGTTCTATCATACTTATAGCTAGAGTTATTTAACATGGTTTTTGAGGTGTCACTGAGGTTACTGTTGAGTACTTAATACTTGCTGGAAAATTTGGGGTTAGGATGTGGGAAGTAGTTTTACTTCAGTTTATGAAGTCACAGATCAAGGTGTAGAATTTCACTTGATTTCTCTATATATTAATATGTAATTTTAAGTTATGTCATCAACTGATTTCTGTTGCTATAGAAATATTAGAAATACTATTTTAGCATAGAACAGCTAATTGTCCTACCACAGTGAAGGAAACAGCTTTTGTTTTCATCCGTGATGATGCTTAATTAGTTCTCCTGTCATGATTCTGTTGACTGTAATGGTCCAAACTTAACTTTAGTCCATGTGAAAGAATAATTCCTAGAAATTGAGATATTAAGTAGACTAGGCTCTGTAACTTCTTTGACCAGTGAACAGTTATTTGCTTTATGAGGTGACAGTAAGGTAGCTGAGTCAATGCCCCCCACAAAGGACTCTTTTTTTTTTTTTTTTTTTTTTTTTCCCTTCTTCTAGGCCACATGTTTAATGTGAAGTATATTGTGCCATAAAAGTTTTTGGAAAGTGGTAAGCAGGATGTAGCGTTCAGTAGGTATTTTAAGGAAGGGGTTATTCAGACAAATCGAAAAAATACATAAAACTGACTCCTCTCTTTTTAGACACTCAATATCTAGATTTGTGTAGATTGTTCTGAGAGACATACGATACTTTAAGAATATAGTTTGTCCAGCTAGTATTTAGTACAACAGCCACCACAATTAGAACTGCTGAAACTTATCAATGAATCTTATAGAGGAAACAAATTTATTTTGTATTTCATAATAATGGTTATAAAATTTGGAACTATCTTTAGTT